CAGAGGAAAGGGTATAAACAAGAGCACAAAGATGGATTTCATGCCACGATAGGAGAGTAGGAATGTGAGCAGGCCTTTTCTGTCTCTTCTTCATCTGCTCACAGAGATATGCTTTCACTGAGAAAAACTTAATATAAACGATGTCAGCCTGGACCAAGATTAATTTGACTAAATTTGCTGGCAAACAAATTACACCATAGGCAGTGGAGAGAACTGGGAAGGGAACTGTGGATGCAGGCAGCACACACATGTCTGTCATTGAAATGCAGGAGCAGTTTTCTGCCTCATCTCTTGTTATAGACAAAGAGGAAGTCCTGTAGAAAGGGGATGAGGGGGGTGTGGTGGGGGAGAGAAGTTCATTTCCTGTTGTGTCCTCCTGCAGGAGGAAAGCTGGTTAATGACCAGAAACTACATACCATCAATCTTCTCATTTCACAAACAGATGGAGCATGGAAAATTCTATTTCTCCCCCTAAGGCAAAACTCTTGCCAGCAGCCCCCAGGGGGGCTGCAGAGTCTAAATATAATAAAACTATAAACCTGTAGTCTTGATTGACTCAGTGGGTTCTTGAATCCCCCCTTCTTCCTCTTCCAAAAAGAAGTATTCTTGCTTGTACTGTTAAAATCCCCCCCTCCTGATTTGCAAATATATAACATATTCATTATTAGCCTGTCCATTCAGTGCAATAATAGCGTTGGATAGACAGGGTACTAATCCTGCTAATTTAATCTGACTGAATTGTGGGATTAGACAGCACTTGTGAAGGCCAGTGAAGACATGGTAGTTATTATTGTCACTGTTAAATTTTGCAAGTACATTTGCAATTCAGCAACAAAAAAGGAACAAATGTCTGTGCGTGTCTGTCGGGGTTTCTTTGTCTCTCTGCATTGTTCTTCCTCCCTTCAGCACTCAGTTCACTTTGTGGTCGCTGTTTTCCCGAGTTTTCTGAGAGTGCTTTTGTGCCAATTTCCCCCTCGTTTTGCTTCCAAACCTAAGGTAATTCAAAAGTGTACAGATTCCCTTGGATCCCCCCCCACTCCTCTGCCCACAATGAGGTCGTTCTGCCCAGTCTGCACCTTCCATCATCCTCCCACCTTCACCAGTATACAAACTCCATTTCCCCCTTGTTTTTAATTTTTTATTTTTTTTTCACAAGCAGCATGAGTCTAGCGATACAAGACTATCGTTACTCTCAGATCGCTGGATTAAAATAAATTAAAATGCTGGGGGGGGGGGTTTAAAAGGAGCTGTATGAGGTTTAGTTCCCTGCTGGTATTGACTTGAAAGGGGGATTATAGAGGAAGCAAACAGCAGCATCCCCAGTGCAAAAAAAATAAATAATAAAAAAAATCAGTGCTGCATGCAAACAAAATAAAGGAGGAGGGAAGAAATGAGATGTAAAGAGAGATGGACACTGGGATGGGAAATCTAAAGCTTTGGAAACATTTTCCCTTTCATGCTTTAGTGAACAAAGTTTGGGGGGGGGGCATTTTGGCAGGTTCCAGAAGTCTAACATTAAAATGGGGGCTAAGGCACATGGACCTTCTGCAAACTATCAAACTTAAGAATCGCTTGGGATCGATCCATTTGGAGGACAGAATGCAATCCACATAGGACAGGCTTTAAAAAACTGCCAAGTGTGCAGAATCAAATTAGAGAATCATACACAGAAAACCACACAAATTTGCAAAAGCTCTCCAGAACTTCTGCCAGAGTACTCCTCCCCCATACAAAGGGCAGCCCTGTGCAAAGCATGGTGGAGGTTCCGCTGACTTTGCACAGGTGTGCACATGCATGCACAAACATATTGCCAACTATCACAGCTTGCAATGCTAGTGTCAGTGGGTTCTACTGTGCATTCTGTACACTCTGCATTTCCCCCCATATTATGAGATCACATGACTCGTTCCCATTTTTGACAGTAGCCAATAACACGGCGGCTGATAACACAGCAGAGAATTCCCTAGTGCTAAGCAATATGGAAAATGGGGCTTTGCAGTTGCTTGTCAGCGCATTCCTTTCTGTTCCCTTTCATTCAATTAACTAATGCTAAAATGCATGCAAAAACCTGAACCATGAGGATTTAAATGGAAGATGCTTGCTGGACGCTACTGTGATAGGGCAATTGCGTGAATTTAATTTTTTAAAAAAATATTTGGATGCCACCCCCCACATGTCACAAGTGACATTCTACCCCGATTTAGAAAAGTGCATTTTTAAAAAATTGTAGCTGCAGAATAAATACACCAGAGGAAAAAGAATGGTGCGTAAGGCAGGCAAAGAATCCAAAGACAAGATTAAAGGCTTACTGCTCTGAAAATCTGCAGTAAGATGTCCATGCATAATGGGCTTTTTTTGTTTATCGCCTGTCTTCCATCATGAAACTCCAGATGATATCCGAACACTGACCAGAACCAGCCTGGCTTAGCTTAAGCAAAGTTGCTGTGTCAGGGGCCTCCAGCTCATAGCTTTGGACACAAACGGTGTGGTTTCTTCATTATCACTATGTTCCAAGTATTACTTAGACTACAGTCTTTTGCATAACTATGGTACTTGGGGAGCTAGTCTCATTGAATACAAGAGGTTTTACTTCTGAGTAAACATGCATTGGACCATTTCCTGTGTTGAACAATAATTATTTTCACTTCCATCAGGAAAATTTCCACTAGTTCCCTATATTCTAAGATCACTGTACCTTCATTGTAGTCCATAATAGTAGATTCTAGTTATTATCCTAGTAAACGTATACATATTTCTATGGACAGAGAATTGTAGTACCAGAATGGAGATGAAGCTTATTTTGTCTATTTTGATGAACTCACAACTCCCATACCCACACATCTCTTTTAAAATGAAAACAACCAGTGTTGCCAGCTAACAGTATGCTGCTATGTAGAGTTATTCCAGGTTAAGCCTACTGATTTCAGTGGAGCAATTCTGCATAGTGTCATGCCGTAAACTGCCTATCAGACCCATTCTGTGTGGCCTGGCTTCATAAGCATTCTCCATTGGCCTCACTGGAAAACCTATCATTGGCTGCGGTCACAAGCAACATTAGCCACGCAAGAGATATGGAAGACAAGCGGAGTTTCCGGTCGCGATCTCACCAGCACATCTGGGAAGCGTAGTGCTTCCATGGCACAACTGAGGCTTCCTGCCGAAAAAGCGCAGCAAAAAACTAGTACCTTGGAGGTACTAGTTTCCAGAAACTGCGGGGCAAGGGCGGGCGTCTGATCGCGTTTCCGGTGGCATCCGGCGCCCGCCCATGTCCCCTTGTGGAAAAGGGTTTTTTTTCCCCCAAGTCTCCGTGGATGCGCACACGCACCCAACGGAGCATGCACATTCGTAGTGTACACAAAAAAAGAAAACCAGTTCGCCGCGCCATGCACTTCTTCATTGCGCGCAGGCGTGTGTTGTGATCGGCACCTCTCCCTACCCACGGAAGCTCCACAGTACCTCCACAGAACCTCCACAGTAGGTCTGATCGCTTTACTGCATGTTAGTTTGCCCCGGGGCAAACAGCCACACTTCTCCTCTGCAGTTTCCTGCCCGTGTGACAGGGGCCATAGATTATTTCTAGGAGCTAGGGGTATAACAAAGTAAAAAAAAAGAATGATGTAATACAGGGTCTGAATGTGTGAAATGAGAAGCTGACCATTCAGATCTCAAGCCCATCTCTGAAACTTACTTGGGATTCTTAGTTAAGCAGTTATGTCTTAGACTGACATCCCCTCTCCATTCTCTCATATGGGAATAATTAATACCAACTTGGTCTACAGGGTTGTTAAAAGGATTACAGAGGTTAAGCACATGGAACACTTTCAGCATTCAAAAAGAGCTATACAGATGCAATTAAATTAGTATTAATGTTAAAAGTCTGCAACTGGGGGAGACAGGGTGTTCCAGGCTCTAAGAAATTGTAGAATTTTAAAACCCACATGGTGTGCCATTCCAGTCATTCAATATTTAGATTACAAGTAGATTTATGGCTCACTGTACTTAAATGGTATGCAGCAGGACATTTTAATGATTTCCCAAAGCTGAAAAAACATAATGTTGTGCTTCCCATATTTTGGTAAAGTCAAACATGCTAGTTTATGAACTCAAATCAGTGGCAATTCTTCACTCATACATTCTAAAGGATTTACTTTTAGAGTATGCAAGAACAAGAGCTGAGACTCTCTCCTAAAGGATCCCACCACTCACGAGTCACCGCTCTGAGCATGATTCCTGATGGGAAGATGGCAAGCATACAGCAGTGACTAGTGAAAACTCATGAGAGACATCTGCCTAAGGGCAGATCACTCTGCTGCATCTCTACATCAGGAGTGGTTGAATCATCCAATAACACCACCTGATCCAGATATATGACAGAATTCTTCATTCCCTACAGATGCTAAGCAGAAGGAGACATGGCCAGAGCTGATCCTGCAGAATTGCAGCATGTGGATGCTGTATATTAGGTAAAGGTAAAGGTTTCCCTTGCTCAAAAGCCAGTCGAATCCGACTCTAGGGTTGCGGTGCTCATCTCCGTTTCCAAGCCGAAGAGCCAGCGCTGTCTGAAGACATTTCCATGGTCATGTGGCCAGCGTGACTAAACGCCAAGGTGCACGGAACGCTGTTACCTTCCCACCGAAGCAGTACCTATTTATCTACTTGCAATTTCTTGCTTTCGAACTGCTAGGTTGGCAGGAACTGGAACCAGAGACAGGAGCTCACTCCATCATGCGGCACTCAGGTCTCAAACTGCTGAACTACCGACCTTCCAGCCTGCAGTTCAGCGTCTTAACCACTTGAGCCACCACAGCTCCCATACTGTATATTAGGAGTTTCTAATTTCTTAAATTCTCATGGTATGCTAGCAGTTATGTCTCGTTTGGGAATGATGAGTATAACTCCACCCCTCACCTACCATGTGAAAATGACCTTAATTTTCAGGAAGAACACATCTCATTTCCTTCCCTAACCGGACTAGCAAGATGCTTCCTTTGCTTTTTCAGGAACCCCCAGGTGGCGGCGGCTGTGGCGGCGGCGGCAGGAGCAGCGGCAAAGTGACAGAACCCCTCCCACGGACCTGAAAAGCTGTTTCTCAGTGAGGAATAAACTGGCACCAGATCATAACACCCAAGAGAACTACATCTGTCTCCTTTAATTATTCTGTGTACATATTAGTGAGTGGATGTGCTTTATGATTTCTATAGCTCAGGCCAGCAAAGCTATAGGAACACCAGATGTGCACAAGCACTCTCCCCAAAGTATAGACAGGCAAAATTTAAATCATGTACACTGTGACGGGGGAGGGAATGTCTTTTATTTCCCCAGGGGGAAAAATAAACATTATATAGATCAAGACTGTTAACAACTCATTCATGTTTATAGCTCTGGAGACTGCAATTTTTGTCTGCCTTGCAGAGTCTGTTCCATCGATTGCTGCTGAAAGTTCAGTTTGTTTCCATCTTTTTTTTTTTCTAAGATGAGAATTTAATGCTCTAGTATTTGAACTCTGCAAGTACTTTTGTGCACATGTGCCACTTTTGAGTAATTCTGTGCCCACCTTTTATTCAAAAAACACTAGAGATATATGCATAAGTGCTTGCAAGATCTAGGGCCAAAATTGTATCTGCATGATTTATTTAGCGCCATCTCCTCCTGAGATCCATTTGATCACAGTACATTATAGCCTAGATCTGAAATCTTATTGATGGATCAAATTCAAGTCTTGTCTGTCATTTCTGCTTTTCTTTGATGTTAACTCCGCTAGACTGGAGTTTCTCTGGAATTATATCAACAATGTTTCCAACTCTCACTGTTCTGTTGTGAGTCTTGTATTACCTAGTTACCTTCCCCCTTAAAGATCCAACTTGAGGAGTAATGAGACCACAGGAGAGTCTTTCATGGAGGTTTAGCCAAAGCTTGAGTATGTAAAATGAATTCAATCAAAAACCAAATGCATCTATTCAAAGAATATGTTAATATATATATTTCCAGATATATTATAATGCCTAAAACATGTGGGGGGGGGGGGGTTGTGATTTTAAATCTATGTATGTTGGCTCTCAGAGTTAAGGCCAATTGATTCCATTTGGCTTCTTCACAAGTAAATCTGCAACGATTTTTCATTCTTTATTACACATTTAAACCACAATCCTGTGTGCAGCTATAAGAGCTTACTGCAAGTCAATAAGACTTAGGCAGGCTTGATTGTATACAGGATACAGGTTTAACTTTCAGAGTTGGCAGTACTGCACCAGGATAGGTTCAGTACAATGTATGTCAATACAATCAACTTTTAAATTACTTTTCTTTTAATTCATTAACTCAGATGGTATTTGGAAAGATGAATTCCAGCAGGTAGGATGGTTACCTGGCCAGGAATAAAACCCTGACTGGCTGCTCCTGGGCCTTTTTCAGAAGTTTAAGCTGCAAAAATCTTGGCAGGTGAAGCTTAGTATGACACCAAGACAAGCGTTACCACCTGGCCATGTCTGCAGATCAAACG